TTTAAAAAGCCTGGTCCAAAACGACGTCGTTTTGGCCAGGCTTCGTTAAAAAAAAAACAAGCGCGCGCGCTGCAGCGCACACAGCCAGCAGCGCAGGCTTCCCATTTCGTTTGAGCATTTCGTCGAACAGGTTGCGCGCATCTATGGTCTGAAGCAGAGGTGCAACTCCAGCTTCTGTAATGGATTTTTCCGGCGACCGGAGGTGCAGGTGCACCTCCTTGCGCCTGCACAGGTCCGCCACTGATTGTACGTGTGCTTTTTAAAAAACAATAGACATGTATAAAATACGAATGTATTATTGAAATATATATATATAAAGTTTGATCTGTGCCAAAGGACCAATGCAATGGCAGTAAAACATAAAGTTCGTTCTGTGCCAAAGAAAAAAAACCTTAATTTGTTGAAACATAAAAAACGAGTTACAAAACGAGTCCACATCTCTGAATAAAAAATGAGTTCACATTTATGTCTGGTTCTTTTGCATTTGCACAATATTAAAGAGACCCAAACCGGATTTCCATTTTGCTTAAAAGAAACCTCGAATATAAATGCTGTCTACATTCTAAGTTAACTAATAAACAAGAAAATTGTGAAGACCAAAACCATGACTCCTTTTAGTACTCCGAAGGTTGAACCTGCATGCATACTCTAAGTACATTATAAATAACTAATAGCAAGTATGTGGAACAATTAATAACTAATACATTATAAACAGAGCAGCAAAAGAGGTACGTAAGTAGGAAGATTTTATAATCTGCATGCCAACTGCCAACTGCCAACTTTGCAGTTCAAGATGTGTGAGTAATATATTCAGAGAAAAAAAAAAAAAAAACCATTTCAGTGCCGGCACCTAAAGATAAAGTGAGGTAAGTGATGACAAGCTTTCAATGATCACACACAAAGACTAGAAAATTTAACCTTCCTAATCTCTATAAAATCAGAGACATGTAGTGGTCTCAATCCACAGTTCTTTCAAGTTTATCCTTAAAAAAAGTTTCAGAGAACTTGGAGTTGAATTATTTCCAATGGCCTCTCAGTTTCTATTTTTGGCATTCATCGCCATAACTTGTTCCATTGCTTTGGCAACTGATCCAAGTTCCCTTCAGGATTTCTGCGTGGCTGACCCAGTAAGATCAGGTAGCTATATATCATTACATATGTTACTGTATTTCCCAAAAAGGACTTCATATCAATCAGTCATCCAGTGGTAAACTGGTAATTATATATATGTTTCTAATGTAGTTTTCTCATGATCATATGATTTCAGTACCAGTGAATGGCCTTGTTTGCAAGGACCCCAGGTTTGTTGAAGCCAATGACTTCTCCTTCAGTGGCCTTCACCTAGCAGGCAACACATCAAACACGGTCGGTTCACATGTGACCTCAGTCAATGTAGCCCAAATTGCAGGACTTAACACTCTTGGCATCTCCATTGCTCGTATCGATTATGCACCGTGGGGTGTTAATTCTCCACACACACATCCTAGAGCCAGTGAAGTCTTGACAGTCCTTGAAGGGAGCCTCCAAGTAGGCTTTATCACGTCCCACCCCGAAAACCGTCTCATCACCAAGATACTTCATGTGGGTGATGTGTTTGTGTTCCCAGTAGGCCTTTTGCATTTCCAGCGCAATATTGGATATGGTAATGCAGTTGCCATTGCAGCTCTCAGCAGCCAAAATCCAGGTGTTATTACCATTGCAAATGCAGTGTTTGGATCGAATCCTGACATCTCTAGTGATGTTCTTACAAGGGCTTTCCAAGTGGACAAGGACACAATCTACAATTTCCAGTCAAGGTTTTAGACTCCAAGATGGAATCTGCTCTATTGAAGTCAAAAGGGACTGAAAGTTTATTTGAGAGTGTCTAATGTGTTTAAAAAAAAAAAAAAAAAAACGTACGGTTCGTGTTTATTGTCAATAAGCAATCTAAACCAAGTTGATATATATATGTTTTCTTGTTTTATTATTTTGCTTGCCTTGTGTGGCCTGGTCGATGTTTTTACTACTTTGTTTAGGCCTTTGCTGTGGAGTGATCTGCTCTGTTTTGGCCTGGTTGCTCTTTGGGCCCGGCTCTGCTTCATTTAGGTTAACTTTGTTCATTTTTTTTATAGCTTAATATACAACACCAACCAAGCTCCACCAAAGATCTTTTGTTTTCACAACCCCTCATTATAGCATTTCCGTGATCAAGTAGCCAAAGGCTTTTCCATATGACAAAATAAGTAGATTCTCACACAACAAATAAACCACATGGAGAACAGATATCCCTCTTTTTATCTATACTTTTAAGAAAAGTAATTAAATCGCATCAATATATAAGCAGACTTTGGTGAGTGGTAGGCCAAAGATATCAGTTTTTAAAGCTAAACCAAATGTGATTTCAAAGTGCGCATGGAAAAGAGCTATAACTCTGTCCCTTATACATAAAGACACCTTGGTCCATGGTAGACCAAAGATATACAAGGGGCCGACCACTTCAGCTCTCAAATTTAATTACACAAGAGAACGCTTGTCTGCATGAGAGCAAGCCATTATATCTCTTTGATACTACTGTAGCACGCCGCTAGGCAACAAGCACTAATAAAAAAAGAAAAAAAACAGAAAAGAAGGGGCCACAGACTTTATATATTTCAGTGCTTGAACTGCAGAGATATATATACACACATATATATATATATATGGTTGTAGTTGTTTTCAGACCCTTGCAGTTCCTCACTTTCTTCTTGTACTTTTGCACAATTTTTTCCCACAACTTTAATTTGACCCACAAATTAGACACAACTTCTAGAGCAGCATATACTTAAAATACCAAATGGCCTTTTATATTTTCTTCTTTGGGTTAGTCTTGTCTTTTTCTTTGTCAGTTGTCATTGCATCTGATCATAGTCCGCTTCAAGATTTCTGCGTTGCAGACACAAGAAGTCGAGGTATATATGATTTTTTTGCTTCTCTGCTTGTGAAAAAAACTAACCAAAACACTCAAATTGGTTTGAATTCTATGTATATATGATGTTATTACCAAACTAACTTGCAAGTTAAATGTGGCAGTGCTGGTTAATGGCCTAGCTTGCAAGGACCCCAAGACAGTTGAAGCCGCTGATTTTTCATTTTGTGGACTTCATTTAGAAGGCAACACATCAAACCCAATTGGGTCAAGTGTAACACCAGTAACTGTGTTTCAGCTACCAGGACTCAACACTCTCGGCATTTCTCTTGTCCGTATCGACTATGCACCATCAGGTGTCAATCCTCCGCACACTCATCCTCGCGCCTCCGAAATTATCACAGTCCTGGAAGGCAGCCTTGAAGTTGGGTTTGTGACATCGAGCCCTGAATATCGTCACATCACCAAGGTGTTGCTGAAGGGTGATGTGTTTGTTTTCCCCATTGGACTTGTGCACTATCAGAGAAATGTAGGATCCGGTCATGCTGTTGCTATTGCAGCTCTCAGCAGCCAAAATCCAGGTGTGGTGGTAATTGCCAGTGCTGTGTTTGGGTCCAAGCCTAGCATTGCCAATGACATTCTTGTGAAGGCATTTCATGTTGATAAAGGTGTTATCAATTACCTCCATTCTATATTCTGAATAAGTGAACCAACCTCATTTGAATATAAGGGGTGGATTTTTCCCCTGCTATTCAATTATTTTGTACTATGATCATGAAGAGGAAACTATATAGACAGTGATTAAAGAACTCTATCCCAAAGTTATTGATTGTATTGTTATGGCTAAACTAGAAATTGTGCTTTTACCTGGTGAATGAAAAAATAGTGTGAAGAAGATAGAGAAGAAAAAAAAAAAAAAAAAAAAAAACTGATGAGAACTATGGTATGTTACATGCATGGTTTGAATTGGACAGGATGGACATGACTATTTCGATTAAAATGGACTATTGTCGTGTTTCATATTTGGTGCTTGGAGATGGACAATTGTTCCACATATTATTGAAAACAAGTACTATCCCCCATCACGAGAAGGGGGACAGGACCGGACCCAACTCCAATCCTATCCTGGCCAGCTCACTAAATGATAGGCCGGATGGAGATGTTGGGGAGAGGGATTCCGAGCCTCTACATTTAGAAATGGTGCATTTACCCCCATTTCATAAAAATTGGACCATTCATCTAATCCAATGCTTGTAAATATGCCACATCGGCTCCGATAAGTTTGTTAACTTTTTTAAAAACTAATGTTAGTGGCTTTGACAACAACAAAAAATAAAAAAATAAAAAATAAAAAATCCCTCCATCTCCAGTCTGTCCTACCGCTCTCTTGGTTCTTCCCTCTTGTGTCTTTGTAAGCTGATCTTTCTTTTTTTTCTCTTTCGGCTTTATAGCTATTGCAAATCTGCTCCAATCAATAGCTTTTAAATTTGTTTTGACAAAAAAAAAAAAAGCTTTTAAATTCCAAATACACTATTGCAATTGATTGTTATTGCAAGCTGTAGTTATCAACAGAAATTGATAATAAAAACAACCCAATTGATTACTATATATATTCTGATTGATGAACGGGTTTGGTCATTTATTTTCTTCAATGTTGGGTTACACTACCCATCGTCAGCAAACCATGGAGTTAAAGACGTATGTGAGAAAGAGGAAGAAAGAAAAATTTCCAAAAGGGTTAATATCACAAAACGTCCCTAAGGTTTACGAAACTATCAGATTGCATCCTTAATGTTTTTTTTTGTGTCATTTGTGGTCCTCAAGGTTAGTATGTGTGATCACAAATGGTCTCTGTCATTAGGTTCCGTAAAAAACTCTGTTAGTTTGCTGACGTGGCATATATGTATCACAAAACATTCCTGAGGTTCACGCACCTATCACAAATGGTCCCTGCGAATTTTTTTAATTTTTTAATTTAAAATTCATAAAATTTTGGTTTTCTTTTAAATTTTTTTTAAAAAATATATATTGTATTTTAAATACACGTGACACTACATTTTTGAAGATGTGGGCTCCACATATATGCCACATCAACAAACTAATGACGTTTTTTTTAAAAATAATTTAAAATTCATAAAATTTAAAAATGAAAAAACCATTTATAGAAGATTTTAACCTTAAGGACCATTTATGAACCCTAAACTCTTGGTTTTTCAATTTTTAAGTTTTATGATTTTTAAATTATTTTTTCAAAACTTCATTAGTTTGTTGATGTGGCATATATGTGGAGCCCACATCTCAAATAATATAGTATCACGTGTATTTAAAATTCATAAAATTTTAAAAAGAAACCCAAAAGTTTATGAATTTTAAATTGAAAAATTTCGCAAGGACCATTTGTGATAGGTGTGTGAACCTGAGGGATGTTTTGTGATATATATATATATATATATGTCACGTCAGCAAACTAATGGAGTTTTTGACGGAATCTAATGGCAGGGACCATTTGTGATAACACATGCTAACCTTGAGGACCACGAATGACAAAAAAAAAAGATTAAAGATGTAATTTGATAGTTTTGTAAACCTTAGGGACGTTTTGTGATATTAAACCTTTTTCCAAAATAACAATCCATCACACTGTGGTACGACACCTGAACTTGGGAGGAGGGGATGGACTAGGAGAGCCTACTTGTTGTTCAGAACAGTTGGATGTATTGCCTCCTAGCACATGAAATTCCCCATCATAGTTTTCTGAAAACCTAGAACCAATTATGAGTCTACAACGTCTTGGTTGGCTCCTCATGTAAGCCCGAAGCTCTGAAATAAAGTAGAAGAAGAAGCCAAAAGACCAAAAAAATAATAATAATAACCAAACAGAGGAAGAACCAAGAAAGCGGTAGGCAAAACGAGAGAATTTATTATAAAAGGGATTGTTATTTTTATTTTTTCTATCAAATGCACTAATCAGGGTCAGTTTTTTAAAAAAGGAAACAAATTTATTGTAACTGATGTGGCATATTCACAAGCATTTGATTAGTTGAATGGTCCAAATTTTATGAAATGTGGGTAAATGCATCATCTCTAAATGCAGAGGCTCTGGGATCCTGGGGAGAGTATTAGACTTCAAATTTGGAAGGGGAAATAAAACATTAAACCTGGTACTAACGGTTTTACATTTTTGGTTGAGATATCTTTTCAATTAAATTACTAAAGATATCTTCCCCTAATAATTAGTAAAGATCTCTTCCGTTAAATTCCAAAAGATGATTATAGTAAACCTTAGGATCAAAGCAATGGATTGGTCAACTCTTTCGTCAAATGATAGGTCCCATCCCTCATTTCACATAAAGAATATATCCCTACTTGGATGAACTGATTAAAAGATTGAGAAAAATTAGGGTTGCCATTAAAAATCCAGCCATTGGTTTGATCGTGGGCTTGACATGAAAAATCCCTCTAATTCTTACCGCAATGTTCTTTCATTTGTCTACTCTACACATTTGCCTAGGCAACAAGACATGGAAGGGATTTTCTTTCAGTCCTTACTTGGGATGCCGATTATGCGACTGATCTCATTGCTAATAATAGTTTTAGAGCTAGTGCTTGTATTACTAATTAGCACATCATCAACAACAGCAGCAGCACATGATCATCAAGCCCTCCTGCCTCAAGCCTTGCTTGGCTGCTCTGACCGCTGTGGTAATCTCACAATTCCATATCCATTTGGCATGGCTCCAGGTTGCTACCACGGCCCTGAGTTCTTCATCAACTGTACTACTACTCACGACGACGAAAACCCGATACCATATTTGACAAAGAGATCAGGCAGTGGTTATGATCTAATTCAGCTCCGCGTCACTAACATCTCTCTTGAGGAGGGTGATATGCATGTTTTGCAACCTGTCACTCGATCTTGCGGTGAAGATCAGAATGACACTGACGGTGTGCTCTTCCTGCCCCCTCCTTTCACCGTCTCTGAAGACAAAAACTATTTATTCGCCGTTGGATGTGGCATTATTGCAGTATTTCAAGGTTCCCGTCCAGGCCAAGGCCTAGATGGAAACACTACCTTGCCCCATATATATCGCTATTGCGTCACCTATTGTGACGACAATTCTGATGGAAATAACACTGACCCAGTAATTAACGACGACTCTTGCTCTGGCTTTGCCTGTTCCCTAGCTCAACTCCCTGGTGGAGTGCAAAATCTTACGGTGATGTTGACTCCCGTCAGTAATATTAGTCGAACTCGACATAGAAAATGGTACGCTAAGTACCCGTGCAGGTATGCCTTTCTTGTGGAACAAAGCAAGTTCACATTCTCCCCCGGAACGAGTTTTGAGCAACTCAACAACACAAGCCACCTTCCAGTGGTTGTCAATTGGGAAATCGGGGGTCATGGGACATGTGATGCTGCTCGAAAGAGCAAGAAGGACTTTGCTTGCAAGGGAAATAGCAAGTGTGTGGATTGGCCTAAAGATAACATCCATGGCTCTACAGGTTACATTTGCAAGTGCAAGAAAGGTTACCAAGGGAACCCATACCATCCAGATGGCTGCCAAGGTGATCAAATCACAATGCAGAACATATTTACATACATGTGTACATATAAATATTTAAATGTTGGGATCTTAGTTATCTGAGTAATTTGTGATGAAAGGGTTTAATTTTGTGATTTTGTTTCAGATATTGATGAGTGCAAGTCAAATCCCTGCCCTGTCGGAAAGTGCGTAAATACACCTGGGAGTCACTCTTGTTTATGTCCCAGTGGCACCAAAGAAAGAAGTTGCAAAGAGAAATCAAAGACCCTTCTTATGGTTATGGGTATGTGTTATATGTTTTTGACTAATAACATGGGATATTGGTTCTATGGTCATAGCACATTAAACACGCTATAGAAAATTATAGAATGAATGAAATACATTATAAATTTCAATTTGATAATGTTTAAGTGCAGGTATCAGTCTAATATTGGTTTTACTTGTTGGAAGTTCAAGTTACATATGTTGGGGAATGAAGCAACGAAAGTACATCAAACTCAAGGAAAAGTGCTTTCGAGAAAATGGCGGTTTGTTGTTACAGCAACAGCTTGCTCATCATGGGGGTGAGGCAACCAGAATCTTTACTGCAGTGGAACTTGAAAAGGCTACAAACAATTACCATGATAGTAGAGTCCTTGGCAGAGGAGCTTATGGAGTAGTTTACAAAGGAATATTACCAGATAACAGAACCGTTGCCATAAAAAAGTCCAAAGTTGCTGCCCCAACTCAGAGTGAGCAGTTTGCTAATGAGTTGACTGTTCTTTCTCAAATCAATCATAAAAATGTGGTGAGGCTATTAGGCTGTTGTTTAGAGGCAGAAGTGCCTTTACTAGTTTACGAGTTCATCACCAATGACACTCTTTTTGAGCACCTTCATGGTAAACAAAACAAAGGATCATCATTTGTATGGGAATTACGTTTGAAGATCGCAGCAGAAACTGCTGGAGCACTAGCATACTTGCACTCTTCCACTTTCATGCAGATCATACACGGAGATGTGAAAGCTATGAACATACTGTTAGATGATAATTATACAGCAAAAGTGTCAGACTTTGGAGCTTCAGTATTGATTCCTCTAGATCAAACTCAAATAAAAACTTTGGTGCAAGGGACATTCGGATACTTAGACCCCGAATATCTTCATTCAAACCAACTAACAGAAAAGAGTGATGTTTATAGCTTTGGAGTTGTCCTAGCAGAGCTACTGACAAGCAAAGTGGCATTTTCTTATGATAGGCCCGAGGCAGAGAGAAGTCTAGCAAGACTGTTTGTTTGTGCAATGGAAGAAGAGCGCTTGGATCATATTCTTGATGGTCACATTGTCAATGAAGGAAATATTGAGACAGTAAGAAATGTGGCTCGTCTCACAAAAAAATGTTTAATGTTAAAAGGGCAGGAAAGACCTACAATGAAAGAAGTAGCTATAGAGCTAGAGAGAATTATGAGAACTATGGCAAACCACCATCCATGGGGAAACAATGTTCAATTGCATCCTGAAGACCAGACTTCGAATTTTCTGGGGTCACCTTCAAATGCTTCTGTTGCTGAAGTTAGAAGTGATTGTGTTTCTAGTGATCTTACTTTTTGTTGTCGAACGAATTTGAAGTCGTATTCAACCATTTAACTTGCAAGTTAATATGGCAATGCCAATCGTCACATCACCAAGGTGTTGCAGAAGGGTGATGTATTTGTCTTCTCCATTGGACTTGTGCACTATCAGAGAAATGTAGGATCTGGTTATGCTATTGCTATTGCAGCTCTCAGCAACCAACATACTGGTACATGTGGCTGCAATAATATTTGGCTTTCTGTGCAGGCCTAATATGGCCAATTCATTCTTGTGACGCAAGTTCATTTTGGTACATGTGTTATCAATTGCCTCCGTTCCCGATTCTAAATGAATAACTATAATTACAAAAAACATATGCAAGAATACCAACCCCATTTGGTTATAAGGGGGTGTCATTTTAAGTTGATTTTGATTTGCCCCAGCTATTCGATTATTTTGTACTATTGATCATCAAGAAAAAAAATAAGACACAGATTATAAGAACTCTATCCCAACATAATTGTATAGTAAATGGTTGCACTAGAAACTTTATTTTACTGTGGCTGCACTACTAATTCAGATATGTGTTAATTTGAGAAACTAAACATAAATCCCAGGACAAATGGAGTTGCATTTTGATTGTGATCATATCTTTTCCTTTTAATTACTCAAGATCTGTTTCTTTTAATTACTCAAGATCGTTTCCTTTTAAAGATGATTATTAAAGTCTGGTCAGTATGGGTATCTCAGCAGGTCATGGAATATATTCTCCTAGGGGTTACATGGCTCAGCTTAATCACAGCCATTGATTTGATTTTGCAGTTGACACTCGTTCCTACAGCCATTTAACCTCTTGCAACAGAGATGATCCTCTTCACATTTTTTTGCCCCAGCCACTTTATTTTGGCTAGTCCCAACTCAACTCCCAAACAAAACAAGACTATGAGGTTTTGCTTACAACCCTTACATGGGATGCTACTTATGCCACAGATAATCTCATTGCTAATACTAGGAGTAGTAGTGGTGTTTGTATTACCAACAACAGCTGAAGCAGATCAAGCCCTCTTGCCTCAAGCCCTGCATGGCTGCTCCGACCACTGTGGTAATGTCACAATTCCATATCCATTTGGCATGGCTAAAGGTTGTTACCGGGGACCTGAGTTCTTTATCAATTGTACTACTGGTACCACTCCCGACGAAGAACCAATACCATATTTGACAAAGAGATCCGGTACTGATAATCTCATTCAAATCCACGTTACTAACATCTCTCTTAAGGGTGAGTTGCATGTTTTGCAGCCCATAACCCGAGCTTGCGATGCAGATCTGAATGTCGGTCGGGAAACTGATCTCCCCCTGCCCCCTCCTTTCACCTTCTCCAATACCAAAAACAATTTTTTCACCATTGGTTGTGGCTCTTCAGGAAATCTTTTAGGCTTCCGTCCAGGCCTTGGCCTAGACGGACACACCTTGTCCAATATCCATCGCTATTGCTTCACCTTTTGCGACGATAATTCTTCAGGCAATGACACCGACCTAGTAATTACTGACGACTCTTGCTCTGGCTTTGCCTGTTCCCTGTCTTCACTCCCTAGTGGGGTGCAATATATTTCTATTATATTGAGTCGCAGTATGCCTACCAACTGGTACTCTAGCTACCCGTGTAGGTATGCTTTCCTTGCCGAAAAAAGCGAGTTCACATTCTCCCCAAACACAAGTTTTCAGCAACTCAGCAACACAAGTCACCTTCCAGTTGTTGTCAATTGGGAAATTGGGGATCATGGTCCATGTGATTTAGCTCAAAGGAGCAAGCACGCTGACTTTGCTTGCAAGGGAAACAGCACATGCATAAATTGGCCCAATGTCACCCGGCCTACAGGTTACATTTGCCAGTGCAAGGAAGGTTACCAAGGAAACCCATACCTTCCAGATGGTTGCCAAGGTGATGAGACGAGATCATCTTAGTGTTTTTTGTTGTTGTTCTATTTTAAATATTTTATAAATTGGGTTATAAAATGTGACATGTTTTTTCAGATATCGATGAGTGCAAGTCAAACCCCTGCTCTGCTGGAAGTTGTGTAAATACACCTGGGAATTACTCTTGTATATGTCCCAATGGCATGAAAGGAAGAAGTTGCAAAGATAAATCAAAGACGATTGTTATCATTGTTATGGGTATGTATTGTTTATTTAACTAGTGAATTAATCTGAATATATTGCTTTTTTCAATACTCCGAGCTTAAAATAGAGAGCAGTACATATATACAGAAAAGATAGATTAAGTAAAACACACTTCTTGCAACCAATCTTATTTTAAACATCCTGCCCCATGAAAAGTATAGAATGAAAATAAATAAATTATGAAATCCAGTTTGGTATGTTTCACTTATGTGCAGGAATTAGTGTCATTTTTGCTTTACTGGTTGGAAGTTCATGCTCTATATATTGGGGGATGAAGCAGCGAAGGTACATCAAACTCAAAGAAAAGTACTTTCAAGACAATGGTGGTTTATTGTTGCAACAAAAGCTTGCTAATCATGGGGTTGAGACAACCAGAATCTTTTGTGCAGAAGAACTTGAAAAGGCCACAAACAATTACGATGACAGCAGGGTCCTTGGCAAAGGATCCTATGGAATAGTTTACAAAGGAATTTTACCAAATAACAGAACTGTTGCCATTAAGAAGTCCAAAATTGGTGCTCCAACCCAGAGTGAGCAGTTTGTTAATGAGTTGGTTGTTCTTTCTGAAATCAACCACAGAAATGTGGTGAGGCTGTTAGGTTGTTGTTTAGAGACAGAAGTGCCGTTACTAGTTTACGAGTTCATCACCAACGGCACTCTTTTTGAGCATGTTCATGGTAAAGAGAACAAAAGATCATCGCTTACATGGGAATTACGATTGAAGATTGCTGCAGAAACTGCAGGAGCTCTAGCATATTTACACTCCTCCACTTTCATGCAAATCATACACCGAGATGTTAAAGCCATGAATATACTTATAGATGAAAATTACACGGCGAAAGTGTCAGACTTTGGAGCTTCAGTATTGATTCCTCTAGATCAAACTCAAATTGTAACTTTCGTGGAGGGAACACTTGGATACTTAGACCCGGCATATCTCCAATCGAACCAACTAACAGAAAAGAGTGATGTTTATAGCTTTGGAGTTGTGCTAGCAGAACTAATGACAAGCAAAGTGGCATTTTCGTACGATAGGCCTGAGTCAGAGAGAAGCCTAGCAAGAATGTTTGTTTGTGCAGTAGAAGAAGAGCGCCTAAATCATATTCTTGATGGTGACATAGTCAGTGAAGGAAATATTGAGACAGTAAGAAATGTGGCCCGTCTCGCAAAAAGATGTCTAAAGTTAAAAGGGGAGGAAAGGCCTACAATGAGAGAAGTAGCTACAGAGCTCGAGGGAATGAGAATTATGGCAAATCATCCACAGGGAACTAATGCTGATGACGATTTAGGTCCCGAAGATCAGACTTCCCTTTTGCTGGGGTCACCTTCAAACGCTTCCGATGATGACGTTAGAGGTGATTGTGGTCCTTGTACCACAATTACTACTGCTACAACTAGCAGGTATGGCAGAATGCAAATTGAGATGTTAATGTCATTAATTGATTGAATTGTTGATTTTTATCTGTATGAAAACTTTTTCCGGGTGTACATAAATACCAGATATATCCTGTTCAAATTAAGTTTTTCTCTTGGTATCAGTTGTAAATTTTTCAAGTAAAAATTAACATGAACTATAGAGATTTGAAGGAACATGAACTAGTTGCTACATTGTTGTGTTTAAGTAATTTTTATATAAACTCTGATTCTTGTTGCTGCTGCAGGAGTATTTAGAAGACACTCTCTATATGCATAAAGGGTGTGTTTGAGATTTTGGATTGGTAGCTAAGCATGACAAAAACAGCCCAACGAATTGAAACCGCTACAAATTGTTGAAGCCCCAAACACAAAAGATATGAACACGCAAAGACTGCAGGTACCATGCCCATCTCTGGCGAAGACTTTTCGAATTGACTTGTTCTGGGTGATGTAGTATTATATGAATTGTAAACGCGTATGTGGTTTTATTATTATTCATTGCAATTTTTCTTTGCGTGTTACAATAATATAATGTATATGGTTAGAAATATTTATGTATTATGCATCTGAGGTCTTGATCATAATAGAGATGCCCACGCCTCCAAAGTCTCACCTTGGACTTAGACTCAGCCAAGTAGGTCCGGAAAAGTAAACATTAATAGATGTAGCAATCAACCTTTTTCCTGTAATTTGCACTTATACTAAAGAAAAGCTTTCCTATCACCGGTTGTCTACAACCATGTGTTTATTAAACGAAACGACAGACGAATATCTATATCACCAAGTACATCTAAAAATTTCTCCATTGACCAAGTCTCTTCACTACAACTACTTCGCCTATATAGCCGAAAGAAAATGGTCTCACACTAGACAAGACATTATACAATTATACAAAATGGTCTCACACTACTGCTTAATCGGGGTGCTTATGCCTCTCTCATTGCTAATTGCACAAGCAACTGCAACAACAGATGGAGCTCCATTAGCCCTCCCCAACTGCCCTAACAACTGTGGTAATCTCACAATTCCATACCCATTTGGGGTTAAAGAAAATTGTTACTTGAACTCTTCCTTTTTTATCAATTGTACTCGTGACGAATCCAGGGAACCCCAAATAGTACCATATTGGGGAAATAGTGGCATCATTGTTTCTAACATCTCACTTGAAGAGGCTGAGCTGCAAATATTGCAGTTTGTAGCCAAAGATTGTTATAACCAGCTGGGCAACCAAACCTACAACAACAACCCTTCGTTTTCAGTGCCTCCTTTCACCATCTCCCAGGCCAAAAACAAGTTCATAGCTGTTGGCTGTGACACCATTGCTATTTTCCAAGGCTACCGAGCTTTCCCGAATGACCAAGAAAGTTACTTGGCCGGGTGTATGTCCTTATGTGATAGCCTTGACAGCATTGAATATCAGGACTCTTGCTCCGGAATTGGGTGCTGCCAAACTAACATCCCCCGTGGGCTGCAAAATCTAACTGTGACATTGTCTAGCACTTACAATCATACCAAAATAGTCGGGGAATTGACCAACTGCAGTTACGCTTTCCTTGTGGAAGAAACACAGTTCAAATTCTCCAATTCAAGTTTTCAACAACTGGAGAGCATATCAAAACTTCCAGCGGTTCTTAATTGGGCAATTGGGGAGGATCCAGATCCATGTAATACGGCTCAAAAGAGGAAGGATTTTGCATGTAAAGCAAATAGCAAGTGTGTCAACCCGGTCGGTCGCTCTGCTGGTTACATTTGTCAGTGCTTGCAGGGCTACCATGGCAACCCATATCTTCCAGATGGCTGCGAAGGTGAGACCACTTTAAATTTGTTTAAAGAAATGCCGGCACGCACGCACACACATGTAAAAACGTAACAAGGAATTTGAAGATGCATAAGTATGTGTTGGGTTGTAATGTATTATGTAAATGCTTTCTGTTCTTACCAGATATTGATGAGTGCATGATCACAAGCCCCTGCAATGGGACGTGCATAAATGTACCTGGAAATTATACCTGTGGATGTCCACAGGGGTACAAAGGCGACGGCATGAAAAATGGAACCGGTTGCACTAAAGAGAATCCCATTCAATCAAAGAACAGTAGTCTTCTGCTTATTCTTTCATTGAGTATGTTTTCTTGCTCCTTTAGATCTTTAAAATTAAAGATTAAACAAACCCAAATGCAAAATAACTAAGGGAATAGTTTCACGGTGATGCATAATATATACTCTTGTATGCTTAATCTCAACATCTATTTACTTCAGTCAAACTTTTGAGCTCAAACAGAGAAAGCTCTGTTTTTTTGAAGCTCTGTTTTTAAGAAGCTCTGTTTTTAGGAAGTTCTGTTCTTAAGAAGTTGTGTTTTTATGAAGCTTCTAAGAGAGTGAGAAAAATGTTAGGTGTGTTGAGGTTTTGGGCAAGATTGAAATTAGAGAAAAAATTGAAGTGGGAGAGATGGAGCATGTTTTTGTTAAAGGCGTCACCACATAATTCTCTCTCACTTTAAAACCTATGAAGCTATTAGGTTTGTACAAGTATTGTAATACCATGATGTTTTCCTTCAACATACCAAAATGGGTTTTAACACCCTGCCCAGTGGAATTAGAGAATCCAATATGCTCCTTATGTTTAACTTCTAACGTGCAGGTATCGGTGCAGGCCTCTTAGTTTTACTGATTGGAAGTTCATGGCCGATATATTGGGGAATAAAGAAAAGAAAGTACATCAAACTTAAAGAGAAGTACTTCAAAGAAAATGGCGGCTTACTGTTACAACAACAACTTGCTAGTTATCACGGGGTTGAGAGCGTAGAGACGGCCAAGATTTTTACTGCAGAAGAACTAGAGAAGGCCACAGACAATTACCATGAGAGTAGAGTTCTTGGTGAAGGGGGTTATGGAATAGTTTACAAAGGAATACTTGCAGATAACAAAGTGGTTGCCATAAAGAAGTCAAAAGTTGGTGTCCCAACCCAGAAAGAGCAGTTTGTTAATGAGGTGATTATTCTATCTCAAATCAATCACAGAAATGTAGTGAGGCTTCTGGGTTGCTGTTTAGAGACACCAGTGCCTTTGCTAGTTTATGAATACATCACCAATGGCACTCTTTTTGATTGCATTCATGGTAAAAAAGGCAAAGGGTCCCCACTTACATGGGAATTACGATTGAAGATTGCAGCTGAAACTGCAGGAGCATTGGCATACTTACACTCCTCTACTTCCACACCAATCATACATCGAGATGTGAAAGCAATGAATATACTGTTAGATGACAATAATGCGGCAAAAGTGTCGGATTTTGGTGCTTCGCGTTTGGTTCCTATGGATCAAACTCAAGTAACAACTTTAGTGCAAGGGACACTTGGATACTTAGATCCTGAATATTTCCATTCAAACCAGCTAACACAAAAAAGTGATGTCTATAGTTTTGGAGTTGTCCTGGTGGAGCTACTAACAAGCAAAGTAGCTCTTTCTTTTGACAGGCCTGAGTCAGAGAGAAACCTAGCAAGCTTCTTTGTTTGTTCAATGGAAGAAAATGGTTTGAATCGAATTTGGGACGATGAGTTATTTGGTGAAGGAAATATTGAGACCCTAAAAGGTGTAGCTAATCTTGCAAAAAGATGTGTCAAGTTAAAAGGGGAGGAAAGGCCAACCATGAAAGAGGTAGCCTCGGAGCTAGAGGGGATTAGAATAATGGCAAAGCATCCATGGGAAAGTTCTAATATCTTTCCTGAAGAGACTGTGCACTTGCTCGGGTTACCTTCAAACACTTACGCCGTGGATGTTAGAGGCAATTCCGGTTCTAGTACTGGTGCAACTAATGGCTATGATAGCATGCAAGTCCAAATGATGCCATATGATGATGGGCGATAGTTAAAACTTGATGCAGTGATGGATGTATATATTGCAGGAACTATATATGCGGTGTTTGATTATTTTCCTTATCTAGGCTATTCATATTGTAAGTAGTAATAATTACCAAAATCATAGGTAAGAAATCCAACCCCACCCTAAAGTAATGAGACACTTCTTAAGGTTATTTCCCCCCCGCGTTTGTACTATGATCATGAAGAAATGCCATATGATGATGGGCGATAGTTAAAACTTGATGCAGTGATGGATGTATATATTGCAGGAACTATATATGCGCTGTTTGATTATTTTCCTTATCTAGGCTATTCATATTGTAAGTAGTAATAATTACCAAAATCGTAGGTAAGAAATCCAACCCCACGCTAAAGTAATGAGATACTTCTTAAGGTTATTTTCCCCTGCTTTTGTACTATGATCATGAAGAGAAAAAGATCACAGACTACTGATGATCATGAATCATCCACGGGGAGCGAATGCTGATGACGATTTGGGTCCTGAAGATCAGACTTCCCTTTCACTGGGGTCACCTTCAAACGCTTCCGTTGCGGAAATGCTTTCTGTTCTTGCCAGATATTGATGAGTGCATGACCACAAGCCCCTGCAGTGGGACGTGCCAAAACAAACCAGGATATTATACCTGTCGATGTCCACATGGGTACAAAGGGGACGGCAAGAAAAATGGAACCGGTTGCAGCAAAGACTAGGTGATTGTAGTCCTTGTATCACAATTACTACTGGTACAACTAGAAGAAATGGCAGAATGCAAATTGAGATGTTTATCATGTCATTACTTAGGGGTTGGCTTGAGTTGGGTGCAGATTTGGGAGGAGAACGGGTAAATGGGTGCGGGGGTGGAGAACTGGAATTGCAGAGCTTCTCTCTCTCCTTTCGGGTGGGGATTTGGGGGGAGCTTTGTGCAGCTTCTCAGAGAGTGAGAACAAATAAACTAAAATGAGTTTTAACATCCTGCTCAACGAAACTACAGAATATACATAAATATTTTACAGAGTCCAATGTTGCAGGGAAGAGGATGGGGGGCGACGAGGTCGACGATGTTCAAGGGGTTGTTCGGTTTGGGGGGTGGAGGAGTGGCGGCTGCTGGGTTTCGGTGGTAGGGGAGGGTGAGGCTGGTGGATTTTATTTATTTATTTATATTTGATTTTAAAAAGTTTAATTAATTTAAATAATAGAGAAAGAGAGGGGAGAGAGGGAGAAGAATATATATATATATATATATATATATATATATATATATATTATTAAATTTTCATTTTGTATTGTTTATTTTTAAAAGGAAATAATTTTTTAATAATTTGACGGAATTGGTAAGCTATAAGCATGACAAAAACAGCCCAACGAAGTGAAACCGCTACAAATTGTTGAAGCCC